TCCCTTAAATTATGCAAGCAAATAATTCAGATTACTAACCTGAGATGCTAAATGAATCATAACATGCTTCCGTATGTATTAAGAATCTATTATTCAAGATTAAATTACTGTATTCTTACGCAATTCAATCAAGAACAAAACATTAAGCACACATCTCAATAATGGTTAGCTAAGAGATTAACTATATTCCTATGATAACACAACAAATGCTCTTCTACCACAGTTCTAATTGTTGAACCGATCTTCGGATTCATGCATTCAACAATAACAATAAAGCACATAAAGTAGTCAATTTCATGCACTTAATAAATCAAGTAGAAAAAATAATCCAAAATTAATACTTGCATAAAATCATAGAATTGGGTTCACATCCCACGTAGGGTACGGATAAAACCCTAGAAATAAAAACTTAGTTACTCGTAATTCTTATGATAAATAAAATAGAATTAATAAAAAGAAATAAGAAAACCTATGTGGTGTCAAAAATTTCGTCGTAGGATCCCATTGAATTGTGTTTATATAGTGGTTAAGACTTGATCAAAAGAAAATAGCTTCCTTGTGCAATTAAAACTTCCAAACTGTGCAGAATCGGGGTCTCGAACGGCCGTCTGAGATTTCAGACCATTTTGGGACAGCCGTCTCAATCTTACCATCCGGACCAACTTTCAAGGTATAAACACAACGACATCCAACCACATAATTATCTAACGGTAAATATACGAGCTCCCAAGTATCATTAGCACGTTGATCAGTCATTTCCTCATCCATAGATTGTCGCCAACCTGGGTGAACTTGTGCTTCACTAACATTTTTTGGAATAGGAACAAATGATATATTGGAAATAAAGGCACAGTATAAACGGGAAAGAAAGTCGTAACTCAAGAAACTATAAATTAGATGAAGACTACGAGAAGAACGAGTACCTTTTCGAATAGCAATAGGTGGAGAAGATGGTTTTGCTTCGGACAAGACCGGCGTTGGAGAAGGTGGTGGAGCATATATAAGATGAGTGTATATTTGTAGAGGTTTAGTGGATGGAGAGACGGAAATGACATGAATCACAATTAAAGTTCGAAAGTACCAGTCCAATCAAAATTGATTGGTGATATACGCTTCAAATCCGGTCTTTTATGAAAGAACAAAACATATAGAGGTAGACTGTCATTTTAGTCATTTCGGTCAATTTTCCGTTAAAACTAACCGAATCAAGTGTGTTCCATGACTGCCTTAACTTACGAACTAATGGTAAATTGACGAAAATGACCAAAAGTGTTAAATTATTGAAACATGATGGATCAATGTGTTTTTTGTGAATATGGGAACTAGATGTAAAATCGATGCAAACTTGAGGGATGAAAACATTAATTTTTCCAAAAAAAAAATACTAGGACGGTTAATGATTAAAAACATGTACAAACTATTAAAACAGTTTTAAATTGAAAGTTTAGACATAGTTTTAAAGAATAAATTAGATTAGGGCCTAGATGCACTTTAATCGTCCAAATATCAGACAGAGGATAACCCTTGTCCACTTTAAGCACAATTTATCATAACAACAAATATTCTGCACCAGCCGGGAATCGAACCCGGCTGGGAATCGAACCCGGGTCTGTACCGTGGCAGGGTACTATTCAACCCCTAGACCACTGGTGCTTGTCATGTGTTTAAATCATTGTTTTATATACCTCTAACAACTAGACTTCATTACTATCCAAGCTCAAATTGATTAGCTTATATTTTTTCGGTTTCCGGCTTATATCTTTGTTACTAATATCAAATTAAATTATGAAATGCTCATTTTGATACCTACAATAATATTTTGAAAATTCTATAAAATTAATATACTTCAACCACAAATATCAAATAATTTAATATTATTTTTAAATATTAATATAAAAAGAAATCCTTTTTTCTTGATTTTTTTGATTTTGTGTACTTGAATGGGTAGTTGCTATTTTCTAAAGGTGTTTGATAACCTTATATATTAAATCGAAAAAAACTTTATAAATAAAAATAAAGTAAAATTATAAAATAAAAAACAAAAATTAATTAAAAACAAGGGATAATTAGCAAGACCCCCCTCATCTAGGTAAATGAGTTAAGAAAACCCCCCCTCCCAAAAATAATTAGAGAAAACCCCCCTTACCTAATATCCTACCCAAATATTATTTAATAATTCCCAAACCACCCTTATTACCCCTAACCCATTGCCGTTCTCTCTTTTTTTTCTTGTCTTCTCATCTTCTCGTCTTCTGCTTCTCTTCTGCCGTGTTCTTTGTTTTTTTTTTTTTTTCTTTCTCCGACAAATCTTCTCATCACCGTCGCCCCCGTCGCCGCTGCCAACCTGGCTCACCGTTCATCAACAAACAACCCCATTTCTCTCTCTTCATTCCTCCCCAGTTCACCACCACCACTATCTCTCCTCTGCCGTCCACTGATACCGTTGCCAAAATGATGAAAGGTGCCTCCGTTGACCAACGCCGCCGCCGGAGAGGATGTGGAGGGGGAGTAAGTGGCCGTGGAAGAAGATTTCATCCGCCGGAGATAAATCGATGGCGGCGATTGGAGGAGGGGATTTTGGTTTGTTGGTGTTAATGTCGGACGGCGGTTGTGGCGGCGGCGGTTGGGGCGGCGGGTGGAGGGAGATGGTGAAGGAGAATTCATGGGAGGGTGAGGATGAAGGTGAAGGTGGATTGATGAGTTGTACCTGCTGCTTTGTTTGTTGTTCCTCTTCACCCCTCACTATAATTTGATGCTCAATTTCCATAGCTTTTTCTTTTTTTTTTTTGATGAATTGCCAATTTTTTTTCTTAAAACCTAACGGGTTCGGCCATGGCAGGAGCTCTGGGTGGTGTGGTGACGAAGGGGAGGTTGTTTTTTGATTTTTTTGTGGATGAAACCTAAATCGACTATGTACATGTTCATAGTCGATTAAGCTAATCGACTATGCTCTGGTAGTCGATTAAGGTTCATCGACTCCAATTTTTTTTATTTTTTTTGGATTTTTTGTTTATTGCTTTCAATTGTATAAATCATTTATAATATTTGTATATTTTTTTGTTTTGGTAATATATAGTTGATTTTGTATTTTTTTCGCAGTTGTGATTTGTTATTTTTAGTAGCAGATTCTTAATCGACTATGCTTCACATCATAGTCGATTAATACACCTGATATAGAAAAAAAAAATTAAAAAAACAAAAAATAAAAAATAATTAAATAATTTCCTTAATCGACTATGAAGCATAGTCGATTAAGGCTTAATCGACTATGCTTCATAGTCGATTAAGAAAAAAAACGGAAAAAAAAAAAAAAAATTGCTGAGCGTGACCCACTGATGATGTGGCGGGTGGGGACAAAGCTGGAAAGCATAATAGCTGAAAATGGGTGTGGACTTTTCTCAAATGGACTAAAATATTTTGGGCCTCCCTCAATTAAAAAAAATAATGAGGGGGTTTTCTCAAAGAGCCCCTAAAAACAAAAAGAAGGAAAAGCAAAAAATGGGGATGGTAGTAGTTGGAAGAAGATAGTGAAATGACAAATTTGAAATTAGAGAGAATATCCCATGGGTAGTCTACTGTCTAGCTTCGCATCACGGGACAACCGTCCCATATTTTAGTACAAAATTGGGACGGGCGTTTGAAGCTTTTGTCCGCACTTCGGTCGGTTTGAAATTCGATTTTGACCATGTTGGAGTCCGAATTTTGGAATGTTGCTTGAAACAAAAATGTAGCCCTTGAAATTAGCTTTCTAATGTCGCTTGAATCAAGTGATTTGGAGTTCGTATGTGTGATGTATGTATGAGTGATCTATGCTCGAAATGATGTTCGTATTTGCAACTTTTCCTTTCTTTTTGATATTTTTTTCTTCATGGACACTTAATTCTCGTTTTTCACCTATAAAACACAAATATGATAAAATCTAAACAAAAGATCCATATAAAGTAAACATATTGATTGTAAAATCTATATTCAACACCATCATGGTCTAAATCACGAGAACAAATTTCAGAAGTCCGCGGTGGAGACTATGGTGACGACGCGACAGAGAATTTTGAGGCGGCGGCATTTGGCTCGCGAATTAATTGTTGGCGGCGGAGATTGTAGTTGTACGACGAAGGTGGAGAATGCAGAGGCGGTGGTGCAGGGCGGTTGGGATGGTGATGGTGTGGTGTGGCGATAGTTCAGATCTAGGTCTTTTTGGGTATATTGTACGGATGATGACGTTGATGGAGAAAATTCGCACATGTTGGACCTGTAATCGACTACATTCAGTAGTCGATTAAGATTTAACCGACTATTCAGTTGTCGATCAAGGTTTAATCGCTATGTTTTTTAATTCATGCTTGAATTTTTTGTCATTGATTCCCTATTTTGCCACTGTGTAGTTGAACTTAGGACATAATGGTGGTGTGTTTTTGTTCCACCATTGTCAATCCATCATTCGATTCGTATAAATTAGTATAATTTTGGTATATTTGTTGTTTTTGTAAAACATAGTTGTTGTTCGTTTTTTCATTGTAGTTGTTTTTGTTATTTTTGCGGTTGGTTGTTTGGATTTTTTTGTTGAATTGTGTTGAGTTTCATTGACGGTATTAGGGTTGTTTTTGTTACAATTAATAGTCAATTTCATTTTTCAACAACAAATTTTGTAGTCAGTTCCTTAATTGACTATGCCCGGTTGATAATTGGTTAATACACATAAGATCGGAAAAAAAATTAAAAAATCGAAAAAAAACTTTATAAATAAAAATACAACATAAAACAAAATTATAAAATAAAAAGCAAAAATTAGTTTTAAAAAAAAAGGAAAAAAGAAAAATAGAAATGATAGTAGTTGGAAAAAGATAATGGAATGACAAATTTGAAATTAGAAAAAATGTGAAAGTAACATAAGTTTATCTCAAAAAGTGAAATATGATATGCGGTCTGTGCCTATTAACGAAAGAAAATTTCGAGTTTTTTTTTTTTTTTTTTTTTTTTTATCAAATAGCCCCTTAAATTAGAGTTGGGGGACTGCAAAGAAAATAACCCAATCTACACTACACACCAATATTCTCCCCCGTCTTGAGAAAGCGGGAAAAATAAAAACCCTTTCCGACGTGCGAAGGAAAAACCTCGATTCACCTAGCAGCAATGGCGCCGTTGCAGAGCTCCCAGCCATGGGTTGAGAAATAGTAAGTCAGATAATTTAACTCCCTCTCACACACACTAATTCACAGATCTCTCTCTCACACACACATTGATTCACTGTTTTCTCGAAGCTCCATATTTTTCTTAAGAATTACTGAAAATTAACGCCGTCAATTGACAGTCGGCCAAAGCAAGTGAAGGACGTTGCTCACCAAGACGAAGTCGTTAGGGTTCTCACTAACACACTTGAGACAACGAATGTACAACAATTTATCTATTTTATTTTTCTCTTAATTTTTCTGCTTAGTGTTCTTATATTCCTTTTTTTTTTTTTTTTGAATTATTGATTGAATTTTGTAGTGTCCGCACATGCTATTTTACGGGCCTCCGGGTACCGGAAAAACAACGACAGCTCTTGCAATTGCTCATCAGCTTTATGGGTAATTTTTGGATTTTGTGTGTGCTTATAATCTTACTTTCTAATTGAAGTGTATATGCATGTGTATAAAGAAGGTAATATTGATTTATATTAATTTTGGGGTAAATTGATTGTTCTATTAGGTTATTTAGGATTATTACAAGATCCGGCAATACTCGACAGTTTGTGAGTATCAATAATAATTTTTTTCTACAGGCCTGAGTTATACAAGTCTAGAGTACTAGAGCTGAATGCTAGTGATGATCGTGGTATCAATGTTGTTCGCACAAAAATTAAAAACTTTGCCGCAGTTGCTGTCGGTTCTGCTCGACACGGGTATCCTTAATAAATAATAATATTTCTGGTATTTAGCATTACTATGTAAATCATTTATGCTTACTTGGATGCCCTTCTTCATCACTGTAGTGGTTATCCGTGCCCACCTTATAAGATCATAATTCTCGATGAGGCAGATTCGATGACCGAAGATGCTCAGGCAAGTTTGTCGGATTTCCGTACTTGCAATTTTAGTTTCATACAATGTCTTAACAGAGGTTATCGTACCCTTGCAGAATGCCTTGCGGCGTACGATGGAGACGTATTCTAAAGTTACAAGATTCTTCTTCATATGTAACTATATCAGCAGGTTGTGTGTCGAATATTCATCTATGTTGTACTAATGTGTATTTTGATCCGATTCTCTTGGGAACTGACTTGAGGAGTGATTTGATGTTGTGTAGAATTATAGAACCCCTTGCATCTAGGTGTGCTAAATTCAGATTCAAGCCACTTACAGAAGAAATCATGAACAATCGTATTTTATATATTTGCAACGAGGAAGGTATCAACTTGGATTCAGAGGTATGGATTAACATACTTTACTTCTCATGCATGTTTAACTAGTATTTGCTCGTGTATGTGGTGAATTAATTTTTCTTGTTGTTGTTTACGGAACGTGGTTTGTTTTCTACTGTAGGCTCTCACAACCTTAAGTTCTATTTCTCAAGGTGATTTGCGACGGGCTATAACATATCTGCAAGTAAGATATATGTTTGTAATTTTTTAAAGTAGCTACGTAAATTCCTTTCAGTGTCTGCAAAGTTCTTTATTCTGATACGGATCACTAGATTCATACTTTGGCGTAAATCTTCCTAAAAATTAATCACTTGACGAGTACATAACTCAGTCGCAGTTTGTTCATTTCAAGACATTGTGTTAAGATAATTTTGACAATATTACATCAAAGAGAAAATGAACATTTGTTTCCTAATAATTGCTACCCCGTAACTACACTGATGGTAGATACTGCAAATGTATATGTCAGTATGCGAGATGTTACATTAGCACAATTAGGTCGATGCTTTCTCCTTATTTTATTGAACTAAGCGTCTCTCATTGATTTTGATTTTCCCATTTATTCCAGGGTGCTGCTCGCTTATTTGGATCTTCAATTTCATCCAAGGATTTAATTAGTGTGTCCGGTGTAAGTCTATAGAATTTATAGACGACTTCAGATTATTTGCTATGTTTTTATTTCAATACGTGCCTGAATCCAACATTTATGGGGATTGTCCTTGTCTCTCTTTCCCATGGTATGAAGAAGACCGTGTCTTGAAATAGTGATTTGAGTTGTGATGATTCAATATGTGTTCGATTTAGTACATGTGTTTTCTCCTTTTCTCAATCTGCCTCAGCCCCATACTTAATACTTCTTCATTGATGACTGTGCTCTGTAACAACTTGTACTGCAATTGATTTTGAAATACCTTGAGACTGTTTCGTGCATATTGCACTAGTTTGCTTGGACAACTTTGTCTATATTTGTTTACTTTTTTGACTTGAAGTGTTGAGAAAAAAGTTGGTGCAAAATTAAGACGGTTCAGAAGTTTCCTCTTCGAATGTTTTTGAACTATTTTCTTCATTTCTTTCTCAGCTTAGAAAGCCTTAAAGATGCTGGTTCTTCTCGATCACTATTTTGGATTATGTTAACAGTAATTATAGTTCATTGCTTACTATTATGGATAACGTTAATAGTAATTATAACTAATTGCTTCCGTTTGAGCATTAGTGGTAGATTGTGGGTTGCTTCTGGTTATTAAGTAGTACTGTAAACCAGCAGTGGTCGTATACTGACACTAAAAGTTGGTATATAACTAGTCGAATTATATATCATGTTGGATTTCATTTGAATGACAATTTGTTTAATTGTGGCCCTAAGGGCATCTATATTTGGCCTATTTACAAGTTATGGCGATGAATCACTGTTTCTGAATATCAGCTGCCAAATTAAAAATGTCAATGTATACATATTGAAATTTGTTGTGAAAATTGATGATTTGAGCAACAGTCCATAATTACCAGCAATTATCACTTCACAATTGTTTGATCAACTTCAATGTGGCTTTTTTGTATGTGTTATAGCAATTAACAGAATTTCAACAATGCTAACAAAGTGTAACAGAACGAATTGCTCGGATGAGATAGAGAAAAGATCATCCATGCATGAAACCTATAACCAACCTCGTTCAGCATTTGTGCTTAGGAATTCGCCATTCAACTCTTTCAATATTTATGATTTTCTACGGACGTGATTTTTCTTGTGCTTGAAAGAACGTATATTTTTCGACACAAAAACGCATAATTTTAGCTATTACACTCTTGTCTAGATGACTTGTTCTTGTTTTAGAAGTTTAATTCCGATTCTGACATGTGAATGATCAGGTCATCCCTGACGATGTTGTGGATGCACTTGTTTCTGCATGCAAAAGTGGTAATTTCGACATGGCAGACAAGGAAGTCAAAAATGTTATAGCTGAAGGATATCCGGCTTCTCAAATGCTTTCACAGGTTTATTTGATATTGCACTATTCTATTACTGTTTCTGTTTTTTTTTCCCCTCTTCCAGACAAATAGTGACGTAGTTCCCCTTCCAGTTGTATGATATAATTGTCGAGTCAGATGATATTTCGGACAACCAGAAAGCAAGAATATGCAAGAAATTCGCAGAGGCGGATAAGGTGAAAATGTTTTTTTCTTGTTTTTTTAATAGAAAGTGTTTGTTTTGCTGTTGTGGGTTTTATGCATGTGATACTATTTTAAGCAAAACAACAAAGTTTCTTGAGGAAGAACATTTTTTTTCAAAGAAAAACTTCTCATTATTTCTACAATCTGAATGGAACTCTATATGTAAAAATACATCGAAGCCTCTTATTGCAATTAACTCTAGAGCAATGAGTAATGATTTCTTGCTACTTTTGTAGTTTATTTTTAATTATTTATTTATGTTCATTTTTTTCGGTGCATTTGCAGTGTCTTATTGATGGAGCAGATGAATACTTGCAGCTATTGGATGCGTCTGGCAATATAATACGCGCAATTAGTAACATGCCATGAGAATTTTCTTTTGGGAGTTGGACATCCAGGTCCTTCATTACCTTTTTTACCCGATTTTGAGGAACAATGATTCAAAACTTTGTGCTCAAAAGATCAGTTGGTTTCTTGATTAAGCATGAATCTTTCTCTATGTTCAAGCTTATGTTAATGTATGGGGGGATCGGTGTGGAGAATAATTATGTTGTGTACGATGAAAACGGTCTAAACTTTTGTGTAACCATTAACAAGTCGTGTTTTCGTGCAATTTTATCCGTCGACAAGGTTCATAAATTGCAGTGCTAAGTTTTTATTTGCATCTTGAACTTTACTGACGATTTTGTTGTGAGAAACAACATGAACCGCAGTTGGATAATTCATAATAAGTTAATTTATGCACGTGGTGAACATCTATTGTTGACATGGATTGAGGTTTTTGGTTTCATTGATTTCGTTGGTTTCGTTTGTTGTTGACCTAGTATCTCATGTGTGCTCTTCATATGATTTTGATTTTGGACACCAGTAAGACCCTAATGAAATTCGAGCATGACATAATTGATTACGTTTTTTTTTTGACAAGAAAAAAGGAGTTTCATTACTACTACATTTCGGACAAAACAATATCTCTGATTCTTACACTAAAGATCATTCAAAGCATAAGAGTCATTCTTGGATAAAGCTGCTATTTCATGAGTTGCCTGATTGCCCTCTCAGAAGATGTGTTGGGCTCTAAAAAGATCAAAACTTGCTCCCAACTGTTTGATATTTTCGATAATATTGCCGTACTTTGCCATGGAACCTAAATCCCCTCCAATGGATGTTTACCACCATACTCGAGTCGCCTTCTAAAATGACTTTTCTCCAATTCTTTTCTCGAGCCACTTCAATATCCGCAGAAGTATGATCCAATAAGTAGGATCCAACATTTGATGTTTGCAGCCATACAACAATCCCAAACAATCCCCGGAACTTGACCTGGCTATAACTCCACTACCGCACTTACTATCCAAGGGATTTATGGCCTCATCAAAATTCAGCTTGACAAACTCCCTCTTCGGGCTGAGCCATTTCTCAAAACTTCTGACCCTCTTGATATTCGACTTCAAAACTTCAGTTGTAGCAGACTGAAGCTCATTCCAATATCTACTAGCAAAAACAACAATTTCCAATAGTGTCCGTTGTAATCCCTTCGAAAACACGTACGTTACGAGCCTCCCATGTAGCCCAGCATAGCACAATACATCTTTTGAAAATATCTGCATCTCATTTATTCTTTATATCTATCATCCATTCCCTCATCTGAGTTTTTGTCGTAGTGTAGTTCAATTGCGGAATATCACTAAGAGCCCATATTTGACGTGATACAGTGCAAAAATAGATGCAACACATTACATATTCCTAGCGATCACCACAAATAGTACGCCTACTTACGTCCATTACCTTTTTTTTTCACCAAGTTTGTACAAGTAGGTAACAAATTCCTGCACGCTCTCCAAAGGAAAATTTTAAGTTTGCTGGGGAGGTTCAATGACCAAAAGTCCAAAGCCATTTCCAATCTCCAGCACGCCGAGTGTTCGAGCTACAACCTTGTCGATCAGATTTATCTTGATCCCTTCGCATCACTAGATGGTAGACACTACAAACTGAAAATACTCTGCTCCGATTATAGTGCCATACATAACGATCTTCATCCTTTCTATTATCCAACGGGACTGACATGATTGCTTACAATCCTCTTCAAAGAACAAAGCCCGTATTACTTCATATTCAACATCCCTACATCATCGATCAGACTACTCTTTCATCTCCGCACGATCATCCCTTCCTGGAGTAACAAATTCAAAATTTCTTTCCCCACGAATCCATTTATGGACTCACCATTTCCAACCCTCTAGCGAAAGCCTGCTTCGAGGAGATTTTTAGTTCCCTATAAACTTCTCGTAGTGTATGATGGATTCGAACTCAATGAGGACTCGAGACCATTCATATTAGGGTAGTATCCAGCTTTAAAGATTTTGCCTAACGCAATATTAAATACTTCTAATTCACTGAAACTAAGGCCACCAACCCGCGTACTTTTACAAAGTTCATTGTGAGTCTTCCCTCCTAAATTTAGCCATATGCTTTTCGAGGTTCTAAGTGAAATCAGTTAATTTAAAGAAGCTCATCACATATGAGGGAATCAATTGAATTACTGCTTTAGCTAAAACTTCCTTACCACCCTTTGACAATCATTTTTATTTCCAACCCATAACGCGAGCACAAACCATTTCACGAATGTTAGCAAAAACCCCCCGTTTAGATTTTCCTATGCATGATAGTTGGGAGTCCAAAATATTTCTCGTGTTTTTCCACTACTTCCATGGTTAAATATAGCCGAATTCTCTCAATTACTTCCGCTCTTGTGTGCTTGCTAAACACGATGCTGGATTTCTGAAAATTAACAACCTGGCCAGAAGTTGCGTCATAAATCTGGAGCATTTGCTTAGTGCAATTAACGAACTCCTCAGTCGCCTTGCAGAAAACCATAATATCGTCCCCAAATAGGAGATGGGAGACCTTTAGGGCACCTCTACACACAAAAAGTCTTGATAAGTTCCCTTTGGTTTCCTCTCTTCGTATCAACGCGCTTAATGCCTCAACACAAGATAAAGAAAATTTGGCGAAAGAGGGTCACCATGACGAACACCCCTCTCGGGAGAAATTCCACCAATTGAACCACCATTCAGTATAAAAGAATAGGTAACTGTAGTCACACACATCATGTTCAGATCAACCACTCAAGTATTTATGCCTAGTCTCACCATAACATTCTGTTGAAATACCCATTCACTGCGGTGGTAAACCGTGCTCATGTCCAATTTTATGGCCATATACTCTCCAATACTACGTTTCATATAATCATAAGATATAAGAATGTTATCGGACATAAACCATGAGGGCACAAAGGTAGATTGAGACTACAAAATTAATATGATTCATAAATGGCTTTAATCGATTAAAAATGGGTTTATAAGCAATTGTATAGACGACATTGCACAGGTTGATCGGTCGAAATTGAGCCATAGTATCCGAAGTAACACATGATGGTATAAGTAAAATATGAGTAGAGTTACAACTTGCTGGAAATTTCAAGTGGTTAAGAATTCGCAATACCCATCTAGTGACATCATTCCCCACTATATGCCTAAACCGTTGATAAAAAACAATGAAAAATCCATTAGGGTTTGGAGATTTAAGACGATGTATACCATCCAATGCTCGTTTGACCTATGAAGCTGTGTATTCGTGTATACGTTCAACGTTCATATCTTCACTGATCCTCTGTTCCATAGCTGCTAAAACCACATTTAATTCCTCATTTGTCGGTTTTTTGGACGTAAAGATATTTCAAAAATATTAAGTCACAATTCCCTCCATTTCAGTCTCGTCGTTGCACCACTCACCAACCGAATTTCTTAAGCCCATAAATGTATTTTTCTTCTTCCGAGAAGAGCTCTAGCATGGAAGAATTTTGTATATTTGTTCCCCTCCTTTATCCGATGAGATTTGGCACGTTGTCTCCACATCATCCCCTCCTTATCAAACAAGCCTTCCAATTCGGCACTCACATTTGTACTTGTTGACAAACTTCTTTTAGTAAGAACACCCTTTTTTTAATAGGCTAGTTTCCGTGTAATTTTATTAATACTTTTAGTAACTCTGCAAAAAGAAAACTTGCTCGAATTTATTAAACCGCATTTACAATTTCAAGAGTACTGTGTGGATCTCTATGATCATTGAGTCGCAAACTTTTAGTCCAGTATTTCTCCATAACTTTGGCACACTCATTTGTCTTCAACCACATCGCCTCAAACATAAACCCACGTTTCCTGCTACGAATGCCCACACCACCCCGATTCTTTAAATCAATACGGATCGGTATATGGCCCAAATTATGTGCCTCGAGATGTATAACACGATAATCTTGGAAGAGGGTTTTCCAATCATCTATGGTTCATGCTCGGTCAATGCGTTCTCTTGTCATACATGGGTATTTTCTGTTGTTGGACCATGTATATGGATAGCCTAAAAATCCTAAATCATCCAGCCCCGAATCCCGTAAGCACTTACTAAACTCGTGGATGCTATTGTAGGAGGGCGGCCTGCCTGCCTCTGATTTTTTCAGAGATAGAAAGCATGGCGTTAAAATATCTAGCGCATAACCACGACCTTGGCGAATGGGATGAAAGATATCTCAAAATTAAAGTTGTCATAATTTATATCGTAATGTTTCATCTTGATCTCCATAAACTCCCGTAAATCTCCAACTTAAATTAGCATCATCATCGTAAACATACACACACGTCGATATGATTTTGCCAAGTAACTTTGTAGAATCGATGTGATGTCCCTTGACCAAAGAACCTCAAGACCCCACCCCCCCAAGAAGCCCCTAACATCCACCGCCACTCCAATTTTTATTTATTTATTTATTTTTTGGCAATAAAATAAGTTTTATTAAAGATGTAAAAATGGATTACGATGGGGCCCCATTAAAATCTTGTTCGCCACACAACGAAAGAAGACCCGTAAAGATATCTTCTGTGATGACTATACAGACAGATCTTGTCTATGGAATGAAGACCCCACACAAGGAATAACGTAGCATATTCTTTTGTTAAGAAAGCTTACGTCCACAACTCTCGTCGCGAGTATCACCATCGTCAGGATAGAATTGGAATTCCATATTTCTGTCGAGCTAAAGTAGAGAGAAGATATATTTAATTTAGAGTATAGCTTTTTTAATTTCTTGTATTTCAAATTTCCCTATCCGTTAGAGGCTTTTTGAAGTTTTAGATTTTTTAGAATAGAATTCTCCAAATTTTATTATGTTATTTTAAGGGTACTCTTTTCCTTGTGTAGGCCTACAAGGTTTTTGACGAGAACCCCTTTGTAACTTTTGATATATATGGAATAAAGTTCTTTTTTTCGGCAAAAAAGTAAAAAAAATAAAAAAAAATATTTCTATATATAGTAGATGATTGCTCGTAGAAGGGAGGTATTATAATCAGTAAAGGAGATGTGGCTTTGATGAGAATGAGCCAATGCAGCAAAGTTGTCAACTACACCGTTTATTGCATATATATATATATATATATATATATATATATATATATATATATCACGGCCCATGCAATTGGAACCGAATCATAAAGCATATCCATCACCAGTTTTGAATCTATGTCCACCGTTCGACGAACAATTCCCATATCACAGCAAATTTGCAGTCCCTCGTGTAAGTTTCTGACCTCCGCATATAGATTAGAACGCTGGCCATAAAAGGAAGAATACCTCCTTTTTGATTCAACCTTCTCTTTAATAACTCGAATTTTCCACCGGATAATTTGGTCTCCGAAAGAAACATGAATAAGATATCCG